AAGCAAAAGAAACAATAAATAACACTGGTTATTTTTTACCATCTTAAATTGCAGTAGAAAAATTAAAATTATATATCGAAATATAAACGAATGAATTTAATTGTTGAAGATTATTTATATTCTTATATCATTTGTGCAAACAAAAATGTTAATTTAGAATTAGAAATTTATTTTATTTAATTGACCGCCAATTATTTAACCAACGACCGTTCCACATGGTACGCCTTGATAAAATTAATTTACCAGAGAGTTAAGCTGTGGAACGCGTTCATCTGCTCTGTACACTCGGTGTTTTCTTTTGCAGACGTTCTTTTTCTTTCTTTTCTCTCTTCCTTTCTTTCTTTCTTCCTTCCTTCTTTTTTCTTTTTTTCTCTTTTTCCTCTTCATCAACGACCGCTTCTCTATCCCGACGAATACATACATATGTCGGCTGGTTTCTTGCTGCCTCGATGCAAACTCCTCTGCATACTTGTTATTTTAACGGGAGCCAGAGGCTGGCTACGTTTCAACCAAGTTCACGCGTTTGCATCGAATGTGCGCGACACGCGGTTGTATTAATTAAGCCTCTGCCCATTATTATATCCGTTAAAAACCTTGTTTCATTATGTTTATGAATGGAATTAGATCTAATTTAATTAATAATAATAATGTATAATTAATAATAATAATAATAATTAATAAAAATAAATAAACAAGTAAATGAAACGAGTGTAATTTTTCGATTATTTAGAGGAGGTAGGAATATAAGATTTCTCATATAAGATTAAAACTTAAGTAAAACGATGAGATGTTGTTTATTAATATGTTTTCTTGGTCAATTGAATTTCGTCGCGTGGAAAAATTTTTACGTTTTATTTTTATATACGTGTATCTTTATTCGAAATTTTTCGCATAGTTCAACATTTGATTTCAATGGTTTTTCAAATAATAAAATTTCGTACCATGGAAAATCTCTGAATCGATGATATTATATTATATTATAATTATAATTATAATGACAACGAGAGATAAAATTTCGAAATTGATAATAATTAGGAGACACTTGAAATTTTTTAATCAATAACAAGATAACGTGTCGATCACTCGTTCGTATGCGTCAACGACGAAGTTGAAGAAAGGAAAAGTTGCATGGACGTTGTCTAATAAGGAATACGGTATTCGTTGGACTAGTTTTTCCTTATAGCTAATCGTGTTACGTATCTTCGCCAATGACGTAGTAGGGGCAAAGTCTCTCCTCTCTGTAACGTTTCCTTTTTTGTTCGTCACCTGTCTTCTGTCGCCACATCTTTTTCTCTTCTCTGGCAAGAAATGATAAAAACAAATAAACGGAGGAGAATTGAATATGCAAGAGGAGCGCAAAAACTCTAATTTAAGACAAGTTGAAGAAAAAGAGTTGATCCATAAATGCAATTATCTTCAATTTATTATTTATTTACGTAAAACAAAAAGATAGATTGAGAGAAAAATAAAATATTTCTTCTTCTAGTTCTAAATCATTTTAAATTATTCAGAATAAGTTAAAGTAAAAATTTATCACAACTTCTTCACGAATTTTTTCCAAAGGTTTTTTCAAAGTTTGATTAATGAAAATTCACAGAAGAGACGGTTCAACGATTAATTTTATTTCCTTACGAATTTTTCCGATCCATTTTTTTCAAAATTTTTTTGTGTTACGTTAAATTAATCGCAATTCGATCGCAATGCGAACTTGTGAAAAGGACTTATGAAGAATCGTGAACGCTTTCTCCAACTAATCTAGCCCTAGTTGGATCGATTAATGGAATGATTGACGATCCTTTTCATCGAAACGGATCCACGGCAATAGAATTATTTT